GTGAAGGATGGCATGATTTATTATGCTAATATTAAGTATTTTCAATCATTTGATATTTAAGAAATTATTCTTTCATGCCATGCTCTTTGCTCATTTTAACATGGGTAGGCATTATAATGTTTAGTTAATATATTTATAACGAACGTTAGCGATGTGTAAAATGTTGACAAATATAATATCTACCACTGTTAAAATGAGCATAGAAACATGGCAGGATAGAATTATTTTGATTCTAATAGGAAAATTAAGAATTTTTATCCTCTAAAGCGAACCTATAATACATGTTTGAAAGGCAGCCATTTTGATTTGATGAAGCCAAAACGATATAGAAAATCAACCGTTTCACGATAAAGAATGAACAGATACATGTAAACGTACTTTTGTATGATTAACTGACGAGCGAGCGAGCGAGCAACTCCAACAAAAATCATCATTTTGATATAAGGCGTTGTTTGAAATACAATTGACGTTGCAATTTCAATTGTGACATCAATCACGTGCAGCCATGTTTTATTCGAATCAGAACATGGCTTTGTTTCTAAAGAAAAGGAAGAACGTCATACTAGGATTAGGGATTTAAGTTAGGGCTTTACTGATAAGGTTAACTAAAAAAAAAAGCGCTTCATACGCACAGATCGTGTGGTATTTGCTTGCTTTTTTCATTCCACTATGTTGTCTGCAATACTATGACACAGCTAACTGTTGTGGTCTGGTTTTCCTATGCATTATTTTACGCATCTACTGCTGTATTAACTTAAACCTTAGTCAAGGCAATCGATACGTTACTATTGCACTCATTGCTTTTAGAAATATCCCATATTTTAAATTTCCTGCCATGTTGTATAGAACCAGTAAAGTTCAAAACTTACAGCCTTGTAACACATGAGGTACCAGCTTTGAATTCATTGACATGATTTGTTTTCTATTAAGACCTAATTACGTCATGCTGTCATACTGCTGATAAAGCTAACACCGTAAAGAAATCTGTCTTATGTTTTGTTTCAGTCATAGACAAGGTTGTTATTAAAAAAACAATTAGGAGGCCTTTAATTGAACAACAAAATTCAAATGTCAAAGGTTTTTATATATTTTTTTAAAATACAAAACGGATAATGACTTGTCACGCTGTAACAAATAGCAGAGAAATCGTCGGATATTCTAGTAGATATTCTACATTTAAACAATGTTTTGAGTGTCGTCATTCTATAAAAAGTTCCCTAATCTATTTCTTTTGGTATTGTTTCGATTCTTAAATATTTGTCGTATGGCTCGATGAGGCATAAACTGTGAATAAACTTCCTATTCGTTCAAGCCTGTCTGTTTTATGGAAAAACTTTGAAACACTAAATGTATTTATATGATATGCCTTAATCATTCTTTGTTCGCATGTTAATTCGCATGGCGGGTAATACAAGCGAAGCAGTAGACGCTCATCCTGTTGACTCACCCAGTCTCGCCCTTTTTTGCGTTCATGTGGTTCCCTCAGCTTTTGTTAGTTGCCCTAATTCGTCTTTTTCTAAACAATTGACGAGGTATGAACATCGTTAAACTACTGTGTCCTTAATTAATTATGTATACTTATATGCATATATTCTGAGTGCATATCTAATCAATGAGCTAGCACACTCAAATATTCAATTTATTTTGGGGGTATTAAATGTTGGTATTTACAACATAGAACAATGTCGTACAACATCTCATGATCAGAATATTTCTTGAAATAATGGAATGAATAAGACTGAAACTGTGATATTCCAGCCAATAACTAATTATTTAAAAGAATTATAGTTTGATCACTCGTAGTTCCAAGTGTATAGTTAAAATCATCCCTTTGAAAATTTTACAGACCCAATCACAAGTTGATTGACCGTTATGGATCTGTTGCACATATGTGTTATGTAGACAAAACGCGCGTCTAACGTACACAATTTTAATCCTGGTATCTATGTTGAGTTTATTTTAAACGACGGATAATTTTCAATCGTTGTTATCCCAATCCCGTCCTCAACTCTCGATTATGTTCTGCCTACCCTTCAGGAGCCCCTGAGATCGCATCTGGTTTTTAATGGGGTTCGTATTGCTCAGTGATAAGTTTCATATGTTGTGTTTTGTATACTGTTCATAGTTTTTTTCTTTTTTTGCCATGGTATAGTAAATTTTTTTTCGACTTTATGAGTTTGAATATCCCTTTGGTATTTATATCCTTTTTTTATCAAACATATACGTCATTGTGCTGGACAATTATATACAAACTGTATATAATATATCATGTTGGACTTTTTCATTTTGCTTTGGATTATACCAACTTAAAACGTTGAATACTTTTTCAATATGGATTTAATGAACTTTCCAAATAATGGGGCGATCTTGTTTAATTTCATATATTGTGTATATATTGCTTGCTTATTTTCATTGTACAATAAAAAGTGTATACATTTACGCTCCAAGTAAAAAGAGGTACGCATGGCCTGACGGGTATTCGAGGCTTGTGTTTACAAAAACTCTCTGGTAAAGTGTGTTTAAAAGAACTTTAAAATCAATTCATATGAGTAATACACCGTTTGTTCTTGATATGAAATAATAGCCAGGGATGTATAAATACGTAGAAATGTTATACATGACCACAAGAACCATAAACGTATTAGCTATATGTATCTTAGGCCACTTTGTCTAACAGTGTTTGGACCTTAGTTTATTGAAATGTCAATTGACCAAACGAGAAGTTTGAGATAGTTGTTAGGAATAATGACTACTAATTTGATGATAACATTGACAACCAACTAGTCAACAGCAGTGTTATCGACACCCCCCCCCCCCCAAAAAAAAAAATTCTGATTCATTTGTTCAATGCTCAAGAAAAAAATCTACGTTGTCAATATTTCATATTTGTGAGCATGTTAAAATCTTTAAAATCGATAATCGAGAGTGGAGAAATAAACTTTACTCACAATAAAACAAAAGAAGAACTGATTTTGCAATTAATTTCAAGGCCTTCCATTGTAATAATTTCAGAGGATCTCTTTAAAAACAAAACCTGTGATGTTTGCGTACTAGAGTAAAAACATTGTTTTTTAATTGTTAATATGTAATGACTTAAATACATAACTGTCTCCAAACACCAACCCAATCGTTACGTAGACGCAGCATTACATGTTATTACTTTTAAATATAACAATTCAACACTTAAGATCGGTACTCAGTAAAGATTGACAATGCAAGGGTACCAGCAGTTCATTAAAACTAGTTACAGACACAAGTTCAAGTAAGGTAAATCAATAACGTTTTATTAGACGTTGATATCAATCAGATAGAAAAAAACATGTGACCTTTGCAAGATGAAGGACTCAAAGTGTTAGCATATGAACACAAAAAAACTTGCATCAATGTGTTATAATAACATGAATAATTATTTAGTTCAATAGAATATATCCCATGCAATTGGCTTCTTAAGGGGGTACCCAACACTATACACCAAAAAAAACCTGTCGTTTAATTTTTCTTGTTTTTATCCCATTGATAAACTAGGCCAAGCTAAACATCTTATAAAAATTTCGAAGGATTTGAACCATACGTTTAAAAGATTTGGCAACTCGAATATGGCATCTTTTACATGCTAATATCAGCCAAATTTGGAAGTTTCAGAAATATGGGTTTAGGGGTATATATGTTAAAAAAAAATTAAAATTGATCCTAAATTGACAATAGCATAGTTAATAGTGAAAACTGAGGCGAAGTTTAGTTCACCTATTCCCTTTACTTGTATTTTTTTTATTCTGGATTTAAATTTTTGTCCGAATTAAAAAAGGGGGGTCTCAGATTCAGCCCCCCCAAAAGTGAATATGATGGGTCAAGTATTTGAAGAAAAAATAAAAAAAAAAAAAAATGTGTCGTTTAATTTTTTTTTTTAAACTAACCATTTGTAGTGCTATATCAGTTTGTTATTTTTGCAAAAATTTATAAATTTTTATCCACCAGATTTTTTTCAATTATAGTTTTTTTATAATACCACCACCCTCAATAAATAAGAGCAAGTTCCATTCTGATAATATATTTGGGGCATAGTTTTCTTGTCTTTTGACCTAGGGCTTAGATATTTTGCATGTTGAAGTATCATCATGAGGTAGAGTGTCACATATCATGATGACTTTCATGTGACCTTGAAATTTGACCTCAAGGTCAAATAAATGTATTTTTGATAGAAAACAAGGCCATATGCATTTTTTTTGTTGTTTTTTTTTACCTAGGTCTTGCATCTTTTGTATGAGGATGTATGATAATGAGATGGAGTGTCCTGTGTTGTGATTATCTTTATGTGACCTTAAATTGACCTCAAGGTCAATTTTATTTTTTACTATAAACACTTTACTATGCCTTGTTGTATTTTTACCTTGGTCTTAGATCTTTGGTATGTAGATGTATCATCATCAGGTAATGTGTCTTGCACCATGATGACCTTCATGTGATCTTGAAATTTGACCATTAGGTCAACTTTATGTAGTTTTTAGCATGAAAATGACCAGGCCATGACTTTTGACCTAGGTCTTACATCTTTGGCAAATATGAATGTATTATCATGGAGTGGTGTGTTCCTTGCAAATTTGACCTTCATGAGACTTTAAAGTTTGGTTCATTTTATTTTAGAAGCTTCAGATAAATGATTTTTGAAATATTTATTTCATAGGGTACAATATCCAACCACTAGTATGTTTGACTTTGGCGGTCATTTTTTTGCAGATAAAAATGGCAAATTATTTATTTTTCAGTGTCAATTGATCTGGGACTATAACTCAAAATATGAAACTATAATGCAGGGAATCAAAATTTAATAGAACTTTGTAATATACACACTTATTGCATTCTTACCACCTTCCAAGTTTCATTAAATTCTGTTGTGCGGTTTTTAAGGAGTTGAACTAACAAGAATAGGATAGACAAATGGACAGACTGAAACATCATATCCTTGGCAAATTCATTGTGTTGGGAGAATAATAAAACAAGTATCAGGGTAGACACAGTCAGGTTATAGGAAAACACAGACATATATTTATTTTTTGGCCATACAAAATTCATTCCTCAGTCTGAAAGTAGTCCTGAATGCATTTCACACTTTTTGGTGGTATCTTATGGTCCTGTAAGACAAATTTCAGTCCATTTACATCTCGTACAGATGCCAGTTTGAGGTGTTTCAACGATATACCATCTTTTGCTAGTTGCATGCAAACTGGCCTTGAAACAATTTTATTACTTAGTAAGTCAGAGTAGGAGTCCATGCAATTGTGGTATAAAATGGAAAATACATCATCAGATTTCACTAGTGAGGTAAATTTACTGTTGTATAATGTTTTTAATGAATCCACATCCTCTATTGCATTGTGGGCAGAGTAATTTTCTCCTACAAACTGTTTGACAAGAGTCTGCTGCTTAAAATTTTCTACATCATTTTTTGGAATATATTTTCTAGCCACTTTCATTGTGTCAATAAAACCTTTCACGGTTTCACAAAATGTCGAAAACAGATTACATTCTTTCAATTTGTTAACAATAACAGGAATGTCAAAGTTACAAATGTTATGACCTAGTATAATTGACTGGTTCTGTTCCTTTAAAAAATGTATAAAATCAAGTAGGGCTTTATGTAGTGTCACAGGTTCAACTATATCTCCTCGAACATACATTTTATTTGTTCCATGGCTGTATGTTATACCAGTGATCTTACTGGCCTCGATCTGAATGTCCACTCTTGGGATGACATATCTGTTAAAACTACATGTATTTGAATTTGACTTAGCTGCTATCTGAATGATATCGCTATTCCTACCCAAGCCTGTTGTTTCTAAATCAAAAAACACTTTGCATTCAGTGCCATCTAGATTAAAAGGAAGTGGAATTTCTGTGGTTTGCTCAGGGTCCTGTTGAAGATCAAATTCCATTTGAGATCCATAGGTTTTTCCTTCTCTTACCAGATGTTTACGCTCGTTCTTATTGCGGTTTCTTTTCTTTTGTATACGGCCAACTTTATATTCCTTTGAATTCTTTTTTTTTTTTCTTTTTTCCATTTTTTTATCTCTTACAGAGGAAATTGCCATTGTAAATTCTCCTGGAGAGAGGTTTGCTGCTTCATTGATCTAAAAAAATGCAACATAATTAAAATGTAATACATATATGCATTAAAATATTAAAAATCAAGAAAAAACAGTAATCTCCATCGTGAACACATATTTTGACCTATAATGGTAACTCTTTATATAACTTGACTTGGATGGATAGTTGTTGCATTAGCACACATACCACATTTGATAATAATTTGAGAAGAAAGAAGATAATTGAGTTACATACTAGATAAACATGATTCGTGACTGTCAATTGTACAATGTATATCTGCAGGGCTAAAAAAGCAATACAGTAATCTCCTTGTATATAAACATTGGATGCAACATGTAATATGGTTTCAAAAAGATAAAAAAAATATTAAAGGAGAATGTGTAAGATGTCATGAATGCCTCCGCTGTAGCTTTGCAATTTTCCAAGTTAAAAAGGGACAGAACTATAGGTTGACAAATGAATCACAACACAAATTTGAACTCTGTCTGAGTGTTGTGATTCTTATATGTATCAGTTTTATAAAAGTTGTATCAGACAAACTTATGTTAGAGTAAGGAAACAAAACAATTTGCAATTTTCCAAGTTATAAAGGGGCATTCAAGACTCTAGAACAATAAGTGACTCACTTTCTGTGATGAGGCAAACTTCAGTTAGAGTGAGGAAAAAAAAAGAGGGTGAGAGTAAGGTCAGACGGACAAAAAGATATGGAGTGGACATAAAGATAGTACTAGAAATTTAATTTTAATGAACTTTAGGTCAAGGTCTTAGTTACCAATCCTGGAACTTGACACAAGTGATATACCCACATACTAAAAATTCATTATATGCTATATCAAAAGATTAATAAAGTTATGGTCTGAACAGGCTTTTCTGAGAAGATGAAGAAGAAGAAAGAAATAGAAGAGGAAAGAAAAAGAAGCACTCATATTCAAACACTATGTCACCCTTCGTTCAAAAAGAAGATGTAAAAATTTTCATAGTTACCTTGGATAAGTAGCCATATCCTTCATTTTTCTGAAGCACAGCTGCAGAAAGCCTATTCTGAAGTGAGCATGATCCACCATAATGTCTAAAAAAGAGTATGAAGAACTTTTTAAGTACATTAAAATATATTCCCCTCTTCCCTTATTTGAACTTGATGTCAAAGGTGCAGGTAACAGTTACATACCAACTCACCAAATATGAAGACCCTTTGCAAAAGATTAATATTTTTATATAAAGTTTCACTATGACAGTATTGACTCCCTTCATTGAAAACTAATAAACTTCAACCTGCCTGTTAACTTGAGTTGGACAGATGGATGTAAATCACTTTTAGTAGTCAGGGTATGAAAAATTTAAAGCCCTGACAAGATAATTAAGTCTTAGATGCATGGGTTTTTTTGTTATTGGCTTTGAACTAGCTGTCAGTAATTGCAATGTGACATATTTGTTTTTCATTTATTGATTTTTTACATTTAGCCATTAGTTTTCTTGTTTGAATTGTGTTGAATGTTGTACTTTGACATATGTATAATTGGTTTCTTTTTACAAATTGTGACTTGGATGGAAGAGGTGTCTCATTAGCACTCATACCACATCTTTTTATATCTATACATAAATTTGTGAATTGGGGCCTTTTATAGCTTACTATGTCATATGAGAATTGCTCATTGTTAAAGGCCTTTCTGTGACCCATAGCTGTTAATTTCTGTGTCATTTGGTCTCTTGTGTAGAGTTGTCTTATTGGTAATCATACAACATATTTTTTATACTTGTATTCATTGTTGCTTAAGAATGTGAACTGACACGCAAATATATATACAAATTACCTTGATTTAGGTGCCTTTACAGATACAAGCTGGTTAAAGCTTTCATTTGACTGTGTAGATCCAAGATCATTTAAAGAATTACTCCTACCAATCATTTTTTGCACTAAATTATTCAATTCAACCTTTAATCCTTCAGACTTGAGCGGTTTCCCATTTGGTAAACTTTTATACCTAAAATGGAGTTGAATAAAATGAAAATAAAATTTACATTTCAAATTTTTATTTGCACAAAATACTTAGCCTGAAACTTTAGTGTTAATACTTAGTATAAGTATATGTTCAATATTTCTGTACATGGGCAGATCAAGAAATTTTAAAACAGGGGCAGGAGTTGTTAAGAAAAAAGGGGAGTTCTTAGAACAAAAAGAGGGTGCAGCTTGATACTACCGCAGAGGTCGAACCCTGAACAGTTGGGGCAAGTATGGACACAACATTCAAGCTTGATACAGCTCTGAATTTGGATTGTTATTAATATTTGACACAGCATAGGTTTCTGACACAAAATGAATGTAGTCTAAGTACTTAAAATTTTTAAATTGGACATACCTACTAAGGTCAAATATCCAAAATCTAAATACATGGTTAGATTTAGCATATCAAAGAACCCCAAGAATTCATTTTTTGAAGAAATCAAATAAAAATTTAATATTGGACCCTTTTGACCTCAATGTGGACCAATTTGATAACGGGACCCAAAATCAAAAATCTAAATACATGGTAAGATTCAGCATATCAAAGAACCCCATATATTCAATTTTTGTTGAAATCAAACAAAGTTTAATTTTGGACCCTTTGACCTTAATGTAGACCAATTAGAAAATGGGACCAAAAATTAAAACTCTAAATACAAGGTTAGATTCCGCATATCAAAGAACCCTAATAAGTCAATTTTTGATGAAATCAAACAAAGTTTAATTTGGACCCTTTGGACCTCAATGTGGGCCAATTTAAATTGGGTTCAAAATCCAAAAACTTAATACATGGTTAGATTCAGCATACCAAAGAACCCCATATATTCAATTTTTGTTGAAATCAAACAAAGTTTAATTTTGGACCCCAATTTGGACCGAATTGAAAACTGGGCCCATAATCAAAAATCTAAATATATGTTTAGATTCAGCATATCAAAGAACCCCATGAATTCAATTTTTGTTAAAAACAAACAAAGTATAATTTTGGACCCTTTGGACCTTAATGTGGGCCAATTTGATAACAGGACCCAAAATCAAAAATCTAAATACATGGTAAGATTCAGCACATCAAAGAACCCCATATATTCAATTTTTGTTGAAATCAAACAATGTTTAATTTTGGACCCTTTGACCTTAATGTAGACCAATTAGAAAATGGGACCAAAAATTAAAACTCTAAATACAAGGTTAGATTCCGCATATCAAAGAACCCTAATAAGTCAATTTTTGATGAAATCAAACAAAGTTTAATTTGGACCCTTTGGACCTCAATGTGGGCCAATTTAAATGGGGTACAAAATCTAAAAACTTAATACATGGTTAGATTCAGCATATTAAAGAACCCTATATATTCAATTTTTGTTGAAATCAAACAAAGATTAATTTCGGACCCCAATTTGGACCGACTTGAAAACTGGGCCCATAATCAAAAATCTAAATATATGTTTAGATTCAGCATATCAAAGAACCCCATGAATTCAATTTTTGTTAAAAACAAACCAAGTATAATTTTGGACCCTGTGGACCTTAATGTAGATCAATTTGAAAACAGGACCAAAAATTAAGAACCTAAATACACAGTTGAATTCGTCATATCAAAAAACCCCTATAATTCAATTTTTGATGAAATCAAACAAAGTTTAATTTTTGACCCTTTGGACCTCAATGTGGACCAATTTAAAAACCAGGCCAAAATCCAAAAACTTAATACACGGTTAGATTCAGCATATTAAGGAATCAATTTTTAGGATTGACATATGATAATTGGTTTCTTTTTACAAATTGTGAATTGGATGGAAGAGGTGTCTCATTGGCACTCATACCACATCTTATATCTATTAATTCTTTGAGAAATGAGACAATACAGAAAACAAGAGGCTCTCAAGAGCCTGAATCGCTCACCTGTTAAAATTTTGGTTAAATCTTTCATCAATGATTAATTTTGCTTTTCGATATATATTAATGAGTGGCTTAAAAATGCCACTTCAATGTTCATTGTATCTGTCATATTTTCTTCAAAAGCAAATAAATGCATTTTACCCATATGTTCCATTTCAGCCATAGTTTCTATGTTTCTTGACGTACAAGGAAATAAAATACAAAATTTATACTAGATTCATTTCTTTTTTTAAAGTTAAAAAACATAAACAACTTGTGTAAAATTGTCCTTCTTAAGGGGTCAATTGACAATTTTGGTCATATAAAACTTTTTTGTAGATCTTACTTTGTTGGACATTTTTTGCTGTTTACAGTTTATCTTTATCTTCAATTATATTCAAGATAACAACCAAAAACTGCAAAATTTCCTTAAAATAACCAATTTAGTGGCAGCAACCCAACAATGTTTGTCTGAAAATTTCAGGGATGATAGATCTTGACCTTTTAAACATTTACCCCATGTCAGATTTGCTCTAAATGCTTTAGTTTCTGAGATATAAGCCAAAAACTGCATTTGACCCCTATGTTCTATTTTTAGCCATGACGGCCATGTTTGTTGATTGATCTAAAATTCGGATATAATTCAAAAACTAAATTCCTAAAGGAACATTCATTTAAAGTTAAGAAGTATTAGGCACAATAGTTTCAGATGAGAAGGTTTTTAATGTTAGCAAACTTGATGAACAAATTGTGTAAAATTGTCTTTAAAGCTTTAAGGGCAATAACTCCTTAAGCGGTCAATTGACAATTTTGGTCATTTAACTTTTTTGTAGATCTTACTTTGCTAAACATCATTGCTGTTTACAGTTTATATCTATCTATAATAATATTCAAGATAATAACAAAAAACTGCAAAATTTCCTTTAAACTACCAATTTAGTGGCAGCAACCCAACAATGGGTTGTTCGATTCGTCTGAAAATTTCAGGGCTGATAGATCTTGACTAATTGAACAATTTTACTCATTGTCAGATTTGCTCTAAAAGCTTTAGTTTTTGAGATATAAGCCAAAAACTACATTTGACCCCTATGTTCTATTTTAAGCCATGGCGACCATGTTTGTCAATGGATCAAAACTTCGGATACAATTTACAAACTAGATACCCTAAGGAATATTTAGTTAAAGTTTTAAGGTATTTGGCCCTGTAGTTTCAGAGGAGAAGATTTTTAAATGTTACCAAACTTGATGAACAAATTGTGTAAAATTGTCTTTAAAGGGCAATAACTCCTTAAGAGGTCAATTGGGCAATAACTCCTTAAGAGGTCAATTGACAATTTTGGTCATTTTACTTTTTTGTAAATCTTACTTTGCTGAACATTATTGCTGTTTACAGTTTATATCTATCTATAATAATATTCAAGATAATAACAAAAAACTGCAAAATTTCCTTTAAACTACCAATTTAGTGGCAGCAACCCAACAATGGGTTGTTTGATTCGTCTGAAAATTTCAGGGCTGATAGATTTTGACCAATTGAATAATTTTACTCCATGTCAGATTTGCTCTAAAAGCTTTAGTTTTTGAGATATAAGCCAAAAACTGCATTTGATCCCTATGTTCTATTTTTAGCCATGGCGGCCATGTTTGTCGATGGATCAAAACTTCGGATACAATTTATAAACTACATACCCTAAGGAACATTTATTGAAAGTTTGAAGGTATTTAGCCCAGTAGTTTCAGAGGAGAAGATTTTTGAAATAGTTTTCGACCATGACGACAGACGAACGCCAAGTGATGGTATAAGCTCACATAGGGGCCTTCAGGCCCCAGTGAGCTAAATATATGTTGTCAATACCAGTATAGAAGATCTTACGTAAATTTTTCTGGATCTTGATGATAGCTACACCAGTCAGCATCTTTACAATTTTCATGTGATCCAAAAATATGTGGTACAATTCTTTGCAGCCCAATCTTAATGTCATCTTCATTGTCACCTCCCTTAATGGAATACATAAAGCACCTCAAAATATATTGTTTTGTTTCATCCTTTTGCAATTCTTTGTAACTACAAAATAAGAAAGAAATAATTAATGTAAAAAAAAAAATTTAAAAAGTCTTCTTTTTTTTATTGCTTATCTGTCTATACTATTGAGGGAGCAAGCACCCTTTAGACTTTTATGGGGCATGGATGAAATCTTCAATCATGGATTCATGCATCTTCCTTTTAATTTTTAGAAAAAATGGTCCTAGTTTCTATTTTTTTAAGTCCGGCCTTTCTATTCTAAACTTCATAAAGCCTCACTAAAAACTATTTGGTCGTTCCATAAGCCATGAAGATTACTCATATATATACTAATAGTTCTTTCAATTTTCAATGTAATGTTTGTGAATTCAGATAACACAAAAATGCAAAGATCTTTACATGTCTTTGAACAACACAAAATTGAAATTTCATTGTAATGTTTTTTTAGAGTTTGTAGTCTTGACAGATCAATATAATAAGATCTATAAGTATGATTTGATTTGGTAAAGGATGGGCTTAAGCCTTTTCATAGACATACTCGTAACACTAAAATTAATTTGTAAAAATACCTCTTTGAAATATTATATAAGCTTGTTGATATACCCTTCTTTACATGGTTCTGGTCATCTTTTTTCTTTATATTTTCAAACTCAACTTCAAGTCTGGCTGATGTTGCTGCATCATTATCAGCATGTATGACTGAAATGAAGATTGAAGAATTATAAACCTACAAAAAGGCAACACAACAGCGGTCAAGATATACAACTGCAAGCATATTTTTTTATTTGGAAAATAGTGATAGCTGTTATATTCTGCCTTATTTAATTACATGTAGCTAATGTAAATAAAGCAACTAAAATAAATATAAACTGGATTTTTACATGACATTGGTTATGTTATATCATTAACAACAAAATTAATTGATTCTTTGTCATAAAAGTGTAAGAACAAAATCCAAGTTTCCTGTGAAAATCACAAAATATTCACCTTTCAAATTTGAAAGTATTGTTGAAATAAGAGTTATTTCCCTTTATATGATATTTTCAATGCATTTTGGGGAACTCATTACATGAAATTGTATTTCAAAATTCTTTATTTTGATTATGAAACATACCATTAATTTCACATTCATCATCTTTTAATCTGTGGGCCATAGACACCGCCATATCTGCCTCCATGGATTTACTAGAGCCATGCCAATTCAACTGACACTCATGCTCCGGAACAGTCTCTTTTCTATTAAGATGGAATTCACAAATCTTACAAGTCTTACTTCTTAATTCAAAGGACAACACCTTTCCTGTCTCCTTTCCAATAAAAGTTGCATGTCCTGCAAGAATTAAAGTAAAAGGTATTACATACATGATGCAATGATAAACAGTTTAGGTGTCTGTTCTATGGTCGGGTTGTTGTCTCTTTGACACATTCCCCATTTCCATTCTCAATTTTAGTAAATATTTTTTTGAATTTTGGTTTCAATTTGTTTAGGGGTGTAGGATAATGGATATTTTAATGAAAGGTCCACAGATGTAATGTTACAGATTAATATGACGGACAGATATTGATAATAAAGAGCCTGTAGTTCAGTGGTTGTTGTTAGTTTATATCTGTCATATTTTCTTCATAAATTGTTTTGTTATTAATTACGCCGTTAGTTTTTTCATTTGAATTGTTTGGTATTTTTCATGTTGGATATAAGTTTTTCTCATTGTTGAAGGTTTTATAGTTGTCTAGCTATAATTGCCTACTTCCAATTCATTTGAGCTCTGGTGGACAGTTGAGTCACTGGCAATCATGTAACACATCTTACTTCTATAATGTATGCAAAATGATGGCAAAAGCTCACCTATTTGCTATAATTGAACCAGGTAAGTTAAAGAGATCTAGCCTAGGGATTGAATAAAAATAAGTATGGGAAGATATTTCTTTAACTACAGCTTCTTACTTGTCTTATATCAAACTAAATAGTGAAATTAATTCTTTGTCCAATTAAGTTATTTATATTAATAATTGATTCAGCAAAATTTAACAAAATACAGTAATTAAATCATGAATGTCAGACATTAAATTATATAACATGAATGCTGTTTATTTACCTGTATTACTATTATAATTCCAACCGGAGCCTCTCTTTTGCCAGCCACCATCAAAACTTGCTTCAATCTAGAAAAGATTGCATTTCTAATAAAAAAAAGTCCCAGCAAGTTTTTTATAGATTGACCTTAAACATTTACCTTCACCTTTAGGATACCTAGTTTTGTAGTAAGCTACAAATACATTATTAAGAACACAAACAAATCTTTTGGATGCATATGTATGCAGAAACAAACATTTGCAGTGACTGCACACCAAATACACAATTAGAAATTATTGTTTTTGTGGTCCTTAAAGAAATTCTGCTGGTCCTCACTGTTAAATCTAATGAAAAATTTCAAAAATTGTGCTGTCCTGTGCAATTTTAGGTGGTGAAAAGTCTTGATCTGTACATGCATGTACATGTATTGTTGTTTATTCTGTCTGTCTCACACTTATACCTAAATGATCATTGTATTTTTTGTAATTAGGACAATATTTACTAAGGGGACACATTTTAATATTACAAATTTACTCTTCTGTGAAACTGTTATTTGTTAAATAATTCGTTGAATGATTCTTGATGCATGAAACCATGAAATAATAAAAAATCAGCTTCACTTCAAAAACATGTTTGATGTTACTTTGAAGTTTCATATGACATACCTGTACATATATACAATGTAGCATTATACATGATCAAATTGTATTATAATTCTCATATATATTACCTAAGACCCTTGAATTAAATCTAGGATCTAGGACTTTTTTAGATGTACTCCATGAAAAGTTATACAATATAAGGATTTTTTTTGGGGGGGGGGGGGTAAAAAAGACTTCTAGAAAGGGGCATCCAGTCTAGATATTCCACTTTGTGTGCATACATTTGATACTTACATTGCCATTTGTGCTGAGTGACTTTTCCTCTCTTTGTGCCATATTGCACGACTGGATTGTTACATTTTTAATCTGTCCACTTAATTCTTTCTCTTTTTTCCCTAATGTGCTCTCTGTAATGGATGGCAGGTTACATTCTGCTAGAAAGTTCTGCAGATGAGTTGGGCCCATCCCTGCATGTATCATTCCTTTAATAGAAATAAGAGGTATTATTAAAATTGAGAAAGAAAATTGATGTCTTAATAATGGAAAATGTACACACCTGCATTTCCAAGACTAAGAAACAGTTGTGTTATAAACAAAGAAAAGATGGTAATTTGTTTCTCTTAAAATTGTAAAATTCTTTAAAATTTTCTAGACTGAAGATATATTAACAGGACACAGGCTGACAGTCCTGTGCTAATTTCTCTGACTTGGCTTACAAAACATCATCTAAGAATATTTACATGATATGATGATGTACATATAGTTGTACATTTAATGGCCAAGCCCTAAAAAAATATTTCACAGTTTATAATTAGTTATTATAACTCTTTTCAAAGCCTACTTTACTTATACAAAAGTGACATAAAATTACCAGAGTGACCGAAAGTACAGAGAGATTATAGTGTCAAGTTGACACTTCTAAAGACTAAAGACTAAAGATAAGAAGGGAGGGGTTGAAAGTTGATGATGTTCATTGAACAATGACAATGTTTTCAACAATTAATTTGCTATAAGGCACATGCACTTGTCTCAGAAAAAATCCTATATACCTTAATCTAAAAAGTTTTCCCAACACCCCAATTTGCTCAAGTATGCAAGCAGCATGCACTGTTGAGTTAGCTATATATATATAGACACATTAGTTGTAATTGCCCCCAAGGACTCAATATTAATCTATTTATTAAACAAAAATCATGAATGCATTTAAATATAATTATGAAAAATAAACAATGCAACATGTTAATTATAAATGTAAACAGTAAAACTGTAAATATTAGCATCATACAGGCTATTATAATTTACAAGCATGTGATATAATCATATAGTTTCTATACCTACCTATGGAAGCTTTTGTGTTGATGTCATAACTTCCAGATGGCCCCCTCTTCCCAAACTGGACATCAGTTACAGTATGACACAGTTCACAATCCACCATCAGTAGACCACCTAGCCCAAATAATCGTTCTCCTACAATATTTGACAGGTGAAGCGGACACTTGCAAGTGCAGCAATACATTCCTTTTGCTAGGACATTCAACTCAACAATTCTTCTCCCCATTGTCCAAGATTTTGACACATCAGACTTGTTATCATCTTCCAATTCAGCCTCGGCCCCAACATCAAGAAACTCGTATACGTAATTGCCATAATCATTACGCAAGCCGACTTGCGGAGAATCTTCCAATTTCCTGCCATCATTTAACCATTTGAAGTAATCTGAACGATTTGATTTCTTATCGGCAGATTTAGACCTCGAAAATTTACCAAACGGATCACGTTTACGCTGTTCCATTATAACATTGATGTATCGTCTGCTTCATATCAACAGGTAATTAACTATTCAAGGTCAATAAAACGCTTGTAATATGAGGCGTATTTTAAAACACTATATTGACGTAAGTTAATTCAGAATTTCAGTAAGAGTTATCTTTTCTTAGGTGTACGGTACCCCCTTAAATAGTATAAACATGATTAAATAATAATCTATAATGTAGATGTAATGTGCTCGTTTTCTTTTGTTTCTTTTTATTCCAATTCCCTTGAAGAAGTTTTTTTTTAAAAATCTGTATCCTCCCCATTTTTACATCGAAAAATGGAGTAAAGAAGTTATATTTAAGAAAATACATAATGCAATACAAAAAAATCCCTGTAAGGCGCCATGACTCTAATATAAAATTAAAGCAGATAACAAAAACACAGTGCAAGCAACACAAAAATACACAAATACCTTATCATATGAAACTCACTGTAACTGAACGATTTTGAAAGAAGTGAAAACTGTACACCTTATAATTAGCATGACTTTATCAGATAACAATACGAATACAAAAAATCCAGGCTGAAAAAAGGCGTATGTACTTAATTCAGTCACGGTACTGCGATGTCGCGGGTATGTTCTAGTTTAAACTATAATAACGAGAATTATATGTGGAGCGGATCTCCTAATCCTTCTAGAGCACCTGAGATCTACCCCGATTTTGGTGGAGTTCGCGTGCTCAGTCTAGTTTTCTACCTTGTGTTTGTGTACTGAAATTTGTGTTTTGATCATTTTTCCTTTCCTGCCATAATATAAATATTATAAATTTAGTAGCTTAAAAGCAGAGGGACCGCCCATTTCACGTAACATGGGAAATAACGAAAACCCTCTAGTTATGATATTAATCAACAAAATTATCTGATTCTTGTAGAAGCAAATTAGTGTTAGGTCCTGAGTTTGTTGCTGTTATATAGAAATTGTATTACATCATCACGGTAAAATATTGCAATGTAGTCTCTGCCACATGAATACAAAGTGACATTAGTGCACCCTATTATCGGATAAACATTAAATTGAATTAAGGGTTGATAGGTTCCCTCGAGTGAATGATTCGAAACACTGTCACGTTGCCTTTCGCTTATTGTTCAAACCTTACTAATGATGATATTAACAAAATGTCATTCTTTTCTATTATATGTTTAAAAGTTGAATACTCAACATATTCATCTAAAGTATAAAAAAAAAATCCTTAAGTCAATCTATGTTTTAATTTACCTTGAAGTAATGATTAAAATATCCGTTAAGAGTTTCTATTTTATTTTTTGATAAAATTGTTTACTGCAGCGAAAATGTCAAAGAACTCATTTATTTTTTTGCCTTATTCTGTAGAAAAGTCAATTACATTCATCAGTGATATCAGCTTTGCATGTGTGATGTCTTTTTAGATTAAATGTCAGTAACCTTTTAATTCGTTTCGATAGGTAAAAACTCATCAATGATACCAGGGTTTTGATCAGGAATATGACAGTTGTTTTCAATTTGTTTGATGTGTTTGAGATTTTGATTTGCCATTTTATAAGGGACTGTCTGATTTGAATTTTCCTTTGAGTTCGGTATCTTGCGTTTCGTCTACATAAGACTCATCAATCAACACAGGGAGGATACCAAAATGAAATATGAAGCATTAAAAACCGAAAAGTCCGAAAAAGGGGGAAAATGCTGCTTTGTCAATACAACTGTCAAAGAAGTTGAAAGTAAGAAAATCAGGTTTTACCCACAATTTTCTTCAGAAAATACCTATACTTATTCAGAAATATAAAAGTTGTTTTCCAGTCTTTTATTTTTTTTTTGCTTTTATTATCTGAATTATCTAAATTGTCTTTTATAGCTGACTATACGGTTTGGGTTGTTCTCATTGTTGAAAGCCTCACGGTGGCATATACGTGCATTTATATTCGTTATTTGGACCTGATGTATAGTTGTTTCATTGGCAATCGTACTACTTCTCCTTATTTGAATACTAATTAAGTTTCAGAGAGAGTCTGAGAACAAATACACCTATAAATTACTCCAACATGATCTTTTTGTATGTTATTGACGACACTTTTCCATCAAGCGTTGAACATGTTTAAAATAATACAAAGAGATGGTAGGAATAAGAGTCTCGTAACAATTTGTGTTTAGTACATTTTAATAATTAAACATTAAATCATCTATTGTCTTGAGAATATAAAGAGATATTTGTTTTGAATCCGTTGACTCATTGAATGGTGCCAAGCGACCTTTGTCGAAGATATTTGTTAGAAATAAAATATTAATGGGACGACTAATTTTAAGTGAAGGATACAAAAAAAAAATCAGATTACTAGTAAAAGATAAATCTATGTAATCAGTAAACTTACAGTGTTTGTCCTCTAGGGTTTGTATAAAGATACATAAGATATCATGGGACGATGCAAAAATCACAAGTCGGTAAAAAGCGAACAAAAGCATGTAAAATAAAAAAACAATGAGGAGACCTACATTTGCTTTAATTCCCGTCATATGGACACTGATGGATATTGTTTTATTATAATATAATCATTGAATATAATAAAAGTTACGTGGCTGTGTACGTTTATACAAGAACATTAACTCAGATCAAGAACCGAAGAAAATAATCTCAAACTCATTGACTTTAACCTGAATAAAAAATAAAAAAAAACTTTGGATTCATTATTATTCGTTGGATACCAATTATCGTGGGTTTCGTGGGTACAGGTGAACCACGAATTAAAATGTTCAACGAATGACAAATTTTCAATTGCCCTTGTATGCAGTGATTGGCAAAACCACGAAATCAAATATCAACTAAAAGACAAGTTTTCTTGAATCAACGAAAATTGATACCCACTAAAATAAATGCATCCACAGTAGTATTTTGTCACCACATATATTTTGTTCTCAAAATAACATCAAATGGCTGATAACATTAACGGGACCAATTTTAATGCACCAGATGTGCATTTAAACAATAAATGTCTCTTCATAAGTAAACCAAGATGTTAATTATTGAATAATAAAAATCTAAATTGGCTAATAAATTAACAAAAAACATGCTGTTCAAAAATCAAATTGCTTACATATTTTTTTTTTTATCTTTGTCAAAACGTAATACAAAAGTTCACAAATAACCAGCATATCCTATAATTAATTTAGAGAAAAACATAGAAAAGGAAATAAGAAAAACATCTATCAAAAGATGACGGAATATGAAATTTGATGACTCAACACCTACGTTTCATGACACTTTGCTAAACACCTACTACTAAGAATTTGACGCCAGTAGCAATCTATATACTAGTCAGATGAGAAATGAACAATTTGTAATGATAAATGTCCTAAACTGGAGAATCATTCAGCTATTTACTTCGTATAAAAGATACAGAAAACCCGCAACTCAAATGTGATAAGGCGTCCTAAAGGTACTAAAATAGTTATTTTGCGGATACGCTATCCAATGTATTGATTGTACAAACATTTCCTTCTTTTTCATTAGCAAACCATTGAACTAAAACTGATTTCGGAAAACAACTTGATATATGGACTTTAAAAGATAATGCTGTGATTCCCAGATAAAAAAACGATGAGGTCAACATTTTTGTGCAATATCTGTCTACTGTTTTGTCGAATATGTTAGCTTTTGTTTTTTCTTCCACGTTGTTTGTTTTTTTATTCTTATTTTTCAATCATGGAGTTTTTTAATTGTAGCTAGCCTATTGGTGCTTGTCCATTCACATGGATATCGAACCATATACTTTTGATGAATCATATACTCATTTGATTTTTTTTTGAGTAATCAAATAAAATATCACAGAATAAAAAAAAAGTGTCATCTGATGTTCCATGATATAAAACTGTATGATATATAAAAAAAATCTAACTGATTGTAACAATTAATTAAATAATTTAGCATGACCAACACATAGCCCACTCAAACTAAAAAAAGCCAGTTTTTATTTGAACCAAACATAGATTGCATTTTATTTTATAAATTTGTTAAGTTTTTCTGAAATGAACCTTTGGTACAAACATTCGTAGTTAGTCTTTTTTCTTTCGTTTTCTGTTTTTCTCTAGTTTCTCTCTGTATGCACGGTATCTGAGATGAGTATTATATCTCAATAAAATGCTATTTTTTTTATCTAGTCAAATAATTACAGGGAAAATAGTTTTAGTGTATTTCAATATTATAGTAGATTGGTATTAGTCAATAATATATGCTTTCTTAATTTGAATTAATATCTTTCTGATTGCAAATCAATATTAAGCCGTATCATATACACGTAAAACATACAAAATTTCATAGTTAATGAAATATTTTGAGCAAGATCACAAACCACATGGACCGATTTCTAGAACGATAAACGTTATAACTATAAGGAAGTACTCAAACGGAGAGACTGTATCAAAGCAAAATGTTTTGTTATACATCGTCTCCTTTAAGTTAATGATAAATTATACTTGGCAACTGTCCTGATTTAAAGGCCGTTTTTTTCATTAAAAATGTATAACCCTCATAAAAATAATCGAAAACACAAATAACTAAATCAACGTAAATAATCTTCTAAAATCATAATTTATTCAAGCCTTGTTCCAATAAACGTACATGTAGAATACCAGATATAGTCTGAATGTTTTTCCTTAAATAATCTGAGACTCTTTTATTCAATTCAGACCTCACCGTACAAAGAAATTGACATCAAAATCGATAGAAAATTGCTTTGTTATATACGTTACCATATAGTTTTTTGGGGTATCGTCAAGTAACTTCTTTGTTTTACAACTTTCAACCTTTATACATTCACTTGGACTTGAACGTAGGAATGGTGACCAGACAGTCAATATAAATGTGGTTTTCATTACAACTAACAATTTACCTTAACTTGCAATCGGTTGTAATTCAAAGCAAAGTAATGAGGGTTGGCGCGCATTCCAATTAATTTTAACCCCGCCACATTATGTATGTGGTTGTCGTTTGTTGCTGTATATCATATTCGTTTTTTCGCCCATTAATTCGTACATATA